TCAATCGCGATTAACCCTTAGAATTACAACTCAGTCTGGACATCAATCGCGATTAACCCTTAGAACTACAACTCAGTCTGGACATCAATCGCGATTAACCCTTAGAACTACAACTCAGTCTGTACATCAATCTCGATTAACTCTTAGAACTACAACTCAGTCTGGACATCAATCGCGATTAACCTTTAGAACTACAACTCAGTCTGGACATCAATGCAAAGTTTAGTTTAGTCTCTATTTTTTCAACTTTTACTGCATTGAATTATCTCCAGATTCACCTATGAGCATGAGATACTTTTGAAGAAAGAAATGGATGTTCATGCAGCATTTGGGTTCAAGAGTAAAAATATGAAGCCATTAGTGAAAAACACACACATTGCTTGATGTTTGGACTCGTGGACTTTTAGCCTCGCACACAGCATTTGTTTGGTTCACTAAACACATTTATCAACCACATGTGCAAATAATCTACAGAAACTACGGCCATTGTTTCAACCACAGATGCAATGAGTCTACAGAAACTATGGCCAGAGTTGTATCAACCACAGATGCAAAGAGTCTACAGAAACTACGGCCAGAATTGTATCAACCACAGATGCAACGAGTCTACAGAAACTACGGCCAGAGTTGTATCAACCACAGATGCAACGAGTCTACAGAAACTACGGCCAGAATTGTATCAACCACAGATGCAACGAGTCTACAGAAACTACGGCCAGAATTAACGAAGTAAATGGCAAACTGCTTAGAAAAGTACTTTGATTATTCATATTTTGATTTGAGCTAGGATTTGAGGAAGCTAAGATTTTATTATCAATTTCCCACAGTTTTATATAAAAAAAAACAACAACAAACACAGATACTCTTTATCCTATTAGCTGAAAATATGTGTGAAAGGCAAGAGGGGATTGGGTTACAGAAACTTTAATTCGATCTTTCCTGGACGTGTTACAATAAATGATAAGACGTGTTATAATAAATGATAGGACGTGTTACAGTAAATTATAGGACGTGTTATAATAAATGATTGGACGTAATTGTAACACGTCCTATCATTAATTGTAACACGTCCTATAATTTATTGTAACACGTCCTATCATTAATTGTAACACGTCCTATCATTAATTGTAACAAATGATAGTTTCATAACAATACTTCTGTCAAGATTAAAAACATACACACACATATATATACACAAACATTTTTAATTTCAGGCGAGATTTTGAAACACAACTTGATGGCATTATATGTTAGAGTAACGTTTCTCAACATTTTCAGTAACACGTCCCACCTAAACTAAACAAATTTCCAGCGGCCAACCTTTACCGCCCCCACCGCAGAAGATTGTAGAAGTATGACACGTATGGCAATGTTGTTTCATAGTTGATATCCTGTGTTCATGCACGTGATATTCATTTATAGTTAGCATTTTGCGAGGTATTCCTTAGTTTGCATTATATTTTTGCTAAAATATTGTCGTCTAATCTTAAGCCTTTTCGCGGCCCACTTCAATTTGCTTTGCGGTCCACCAGTGAGTAGCGACCCACAGGTTGAGAAACACAGTGTTATAATAACCTTGTTACTGGTATATAAGAAACAAGCTTTGCTTCTCTTACTAGTCCTTCAAGCTAAATGTCATAGGCCAAAAAAGGTAGGTGAGCCGTTCCGATACTCAGAGAACATGTCCAATATTTCTGTGAGACAATCAGGGCGACAAATAACCTTTTGGTCGTCACAGAGTTGACCTAAAGGATAGTAAACAGGGAAGTGAGTCATGGGTCAGAAGTTAATGCTTAAAGGACAGAACTTGTTAGATATGTAAAAAAACAACAACATATATACTGACTAAAGAAAGAAAGCGTATACAATATATATATAGATAGATATACACCCACATACACATGAACTTGAGAAAATATTGCAAAGACTACAATGATGTAACACATATATAATATAAACATATGCAAGAAATTCATACCTATATAGCATATAAATGGCACATTTACTAAGAGATGCATGGTAACTACAGAACCACTGGAGCATATTAGGTTAATATAACACCAGCAACTTAAGCCTTTTTTATATATTTTCATTGATTCAGGAGATATACGTGAGAATATTGTAAACATAATTTGGCATATTTTAAAATTTTGTAGGTCTTTATTATAATTGTGTTATATTAGTTAGTTATTTTCATACTTTTTGTTTATTCATTTCAATTTGAGTTATTTTTAGACAGGATTTTTCTTTAAGAGGTTCCGCAAAGGTTCGAATCGTGACTATATTTGAGAAGGATTTTTACTACACGAAGTAAACAATAGAGTTTGTTTCCTTGCGTAATTAGTTTCTAGTATATATATATGTTTCCTTTTGTTGTTTAATTCATTTCGATTAAAATATGTTTAGTAATATTATAAATTTAATTATTGACCACTAATGTTGTTCTTGTCTTAGTGTAAAGTAGCACAATGGGCTACCTGCACTCTGTTTACCGCTGGGAATCGAACCCCGGATTTTAGCAAGGAATGCTATGTTCCACGAAAGGTAATTTTACTATTTTTCTACCAATTAATAAAGAAAGGAGAGGTGTTTGATCTAATCCTCATTGGCTGGAATAGTAAAGACTGATAGGATATCAGTATGCTATGAGACAAACCAAAATGGAATCTAGTCTTACATAACAGTCACCAGGAATACTTGAACGTGAGTGAAAATGATATCATGACTTCAATGTCCATATTCTAATGACTAAGAAATTAGTATTTTAAAAAAAGTTAGAATAGTTAAATAGATTATTCCAGTTTAAAAAAGTTTTGCTTTATCTTAATTTTGACGAAACAGAAAGGTGAATAAATGTGAAGATATTCTCAAAAACAAAACTCTTCAACGTGCTGCATCCCAGACCGACAGTAAGACGACCTGAACTCTTGATTTAGCCCAGGAATCGCATGCAGATAACCTTAGATGTCAAGGTTGTAGAGGACGAAACATGCTTCCCCGCGTGCCTTTGTAATTGATTATAGAAGCTTCCACACAGTTTAGAACTGACGATACGAATAGCGATACTATAACTCCTAGCAGGTCTATGTTTGTAAGCCTCTACTTGATCTTGAAATACTACGTGAATGTACGTCACTATAGAACTGCTAAGCATTATAGTGCCCTTGGGAGCTCATTAAAGTTTAGCAGAATTAGAAATACCAAATATTTATGTCAAGCTGAAGTTTTTCAAGCAACAAGTAAACGACGCGCTTAGTACACTGACAGATTCAAATACCTTTTGTAAAAAACGTTGAAAAAATGCGAATAAAAACGCATAACAATTAAAACTGCTACATTTAAACAAACCAAATTGAAAAACTATTTTGTGTCGCACAGTTAAAACAACTTGATATTTGCAAGAGTCTATAAAATAAAATAAAAATAATTTATCGCTTATAATTATGATATATAAGCGGAATCTAAACATCGATGTTTTGTGTGACATTACAATAAGGCCGATAACATAAATATTATTTTAATAAAGCTTTCTCTATGGGCCCTATACAGGTTTTTCACTAAGAATAACATAACAGCATTTCACCGGTTTATTTTGCGCGCCGCTATCAACGAATACCAGAAAGAACTCATCAATTCGACTAGGAATACAACACACGTCGGCATAAGGCGTTATGCACCATAATGATTAATGACTTATAAAGTACTGATAAAAATACCGTTTCAAAAAAAAAAGGCTTTGTTATGACTTATGACTTAATTCATTGTAATTAGAATATTTTAAGCTGTTTTTTTTCTGTTAGTGCAACTAAGTAAACAATCTAGGTGTCACTTTAAATTCTAGTATCTCCATGGAAATTATCAATTAACATTAGATAGGAATAATATACATTTTCGATAATATATTTATTTTAATTACGTGGTCGCGGGTTCGAATCCCCGTCACATCAAACATGCTCGCCCTTTCAGCCGTGGGGGGCCTAAGAGTTGGCAGTGGATGGTGATGACTAGCTGCCTTCCCTCTATTCTTACACTGCTAAATTAGGGACGGCTAGCGCAGATAGCCCTCGTGTAGCTTTGCGCGAAATCCATAACAAACCAGTTAAGTCAAAGGAGATCGGCACAGATAACAATGTACATATCTAAGTCGTACACATTATCCAGAGGTTAGTTACTTGTGGTTCTCAGGTTTATTACGTACGTACTTAACATCGATCTTAATTTTAGATTTCAGTAGAGTTAAGGAAGAGTAAAAAAAATAAACAGACTTGTTCCTTCAGTTGAACATCCTGTCCCTCATAAAGCTCGTGTCATTGCAGGAAAAATATTTATTATTTATTACTGTACTGTCTGTGTGCTTATGAGCGAATAGTAATATATAAAAGTATTTGTTTATTTGTTCGGTGAATTACGCGCAAAGATACTGTAGGGCTATATGCGCTAACTGTCCTTAATTTAGAAGTGGTAGATTAGAGGGAAAGCAACAACCCAACATCACCCGCCATCAACTGTTAGGCTACTCTTTCTCAACGAATAGTGGGATTGACTATAATATTATAACGACCCAACTTTAAAAAGAGGCGAGCATGTTCGATGATGGAATTTGAACCCGCAACCCGACGATTGCGAGTCGAGTGCTTTAACCACCAGGTCCACATAAAAGTCAATATTTGCTTTATGATTGTGGCAGGTCTCTTCGTCTACCCGACAACCAAGTCCATGTAGACTGTTGGATACATGCGGCAGTTTGAATTCTGACGATAATATTAATCTAAAACAAAAAAAGAGAACCCAGAGAAAAAAATCCTTGTTATGTAATATGATTTTCGACAATTAACTAAAACATTTTTATGAAACGAAAGTTACATCACAATGGGGTTTGCATGTTTTATTGAAAGGAAAACAGAAATGGTTACCAAATATTTAAACTTATGAATAACATCTCAATTATGTGAAATAAATATCTGAAAATAAAAAAACGAAGAAAAAGTCTGACACATTACCTTTACAAGAAGGACAACATTCGCCACTTGCAGGTGATAGGTAGTTTCGACACGGTACGTGACAGTGGACCCTTGCTTCTGTGACCACACCGGACTGAGGTGTAAAGAATATCTCAAATTACGAATGTCGTATAGATTTTTTTTTATACAAAACAAACAGAAAACAACAACGCGAAAATAGAACTTATAAGAATTTTTTCCCACTCAGTCAACCAAGTAAATCAGGTTTTTTATATTTCCCCTCCGATAAAGTTTGAGGGCTCAAACAGTAAATTGGGGGTTCGATCCCTGCAAAAGGCTCGACACAAATAGCCCACTGTGCAGATTTGAGCTTAACAACAAACAAAATTATTGTATCGTTTGTATTTTCAAACAAACAACATTTGCTATGGAATTGATATTTTAGGAACGCTCAATGTCGCTGTCTGTTTTTGTTGTTGTTTGTTTGTTTTTAACAAGTATACAAGCTGTTAAAGTGTGATAACAATATTTCATTAAGAAATAAAACATTTAGCATCGTTTCACAACATATATACATATATTGTTTTCTGTAATCTAACGAAACAAACTAGAAAAAAAAAAAGAATCGTGACACTTTTAATGTATAACATAGCAAAAACATTACTAACCTCACAAGAAAACGTTCGACAGGGGTCATTAGGATCAGCCCAAGTAAATCCACTCTCGTAGATAGTGCCATTGACAGAGCAGCCTAGCGAAACGATGATATTTATTTTAATAGGTGCTATGTTATATATCAGTATAAAAGAAAAAAACACTCCTGAAATTGAAAACTCTTTTTTAAGTAGTCAGTATCGTTTTCCAGTCTATTTATTTGGTGAAAGTGGTTTGTGGGATTTTAAATCTTGATACTATTTCTTTATTTTTTTCTCACATACAGCAATACTTATTGGTTGAACATAAAAATTACATCACAGATTTATTGGAACTGTTTGTCATAATAAACTGACCTTTACAGATATCACAACAGCTCTGCTTCTGACCATAAAGTAGAAAATAACAGTCCTTCCTCTGCTCACTTGGACATTTCTCATTACACACTATTCTTTTATTCTGTTGGAAGAAATAATTAATAATGTAAATATACAGTTGGAACAATAAAAATAATAAAGTACGTAATAATGAAAAAATATGATGTGAATTAAGTAAGAACGAGATCAATGAAAATATATTAACAGTTGCAGTAATAGACGTAGATCCCCAGTGGCACAGCGGTATGTCTGCGGACATTACAACGCTAGAAACCGGGTTTCGATACCCGTGGTGAGCAGAGTACAGACAGCCAATCGTGTAGCTTTGTGCTTAACTTCAAACAAACAGACAAAACAATAAATGTAGAGTAGCAGCTGGAAGAATAAGCACAAAACAACAGCTAGATATATAGTCACAGATCAGGAAATGGGTTAATGAATACGTGCCATATATAGTCACAGATCAGGAAATGGGTTAATGAATACGTGCCATATATAGTCACAGATCAGGAAATGCGTTAATGAATATGTGGCATGTATAGTCACAGATCATGAAATGGGTTAATGAATACGTGCCATATATAGTCACAGATCAGGAAATGGGTTAATGAATACATGCCATATTTAGTCACAGATCAGGAAATGGGTTAATGAATACATGCCACCCGTTGATAAAACGAGGACAAAGCAACATCTAGATCGGTGAAACAAACAATGGGGTAACATACAACAAAGCCGACAACTGAGTAAACAAAACGGTTCAAAGCTAATTCCGTTAAAACAACTGGATAAATAAACATAAAACTAAAAAACTCATAAAAATGACAGTTTGATTAGAAAAAACAAATCGAAAGCTATCGCGACAAAAGTTGGATTAACAAGCACCATGAGCAGTAAGAAAATAATATCATCAATAATTGTATCAGTAAAGCATATCAATACTTCTCACTTTAAGCGTAAATAACAATACAATAAAAATAATTTGGCATGCCATTTTCTAAGGATTTTCTATTCATCACCAGTACAATATTATTCACATGATCTATTTATTATAAAATTCCATCTAGATCCCCATACTACAACTATAAGGACATTTTACAATTGAATACATAAACTTTTTGCTTTAAGATTATATTATTTTATCACATTTACCTATTTAAAATAGACGAATGTATACAATATAAAAAACATTAAAACGATAAGCATTAAATACGGTCTAAAAATTACGTCTGAATGCAATTTAAAATATCGACACACAGTAATTTATGCGAATTTTTTACGTGTCCGGACGTGAGATGTCCGGCTATTTCAACGCATTTTGCATGTGCTACCTGCACTGAAAAGACAGAACCTCATTTAATCTTCGGAATGGCAATTTGTCATTTTGGTTATTACTTCAGTTTAGCTTATTTTTCCAGTGTAATTCAACGATAACGTTACCTGCTGGTGGAGGGCGAAAGTTTATGACGAAAGATAGGCAAACAATAAAACAAGTTGAATTTCATTTCGGCGTATCTAAGATGTGAAGCTGGAACATTGTCGATAAGTTATTAGGCAACTAGGCTGTATATCAAAGTGAATGGACAAGGTTGTATAACGCCAACTATACGCCTAATAAGAGCTATGTGTACAACTTTGGCATAAGGGAATAATGGCAAGATTGAATCAATCCTTCATGAGGAAACTCAACGGTTTTATTCCTTACCGTTTTGACGATCACTTCAGTTGCTGTACAAGAATATATATTTAGTCCGTTAGCTGATTGTTTACCCCAAACAAATCTTTCTGTCGAGGTTACTAGAACTGGAAGTAATGCGTTTGGGTGCCTGAACTCTTCATGAATGAGTCGAGGTTTCATTTTTCTATTAATGATGATTAATGAGTTCCTATCCTTAGGGGGGTGAAACATTGCCGTAGTGGCATCAATATGAAAACCCTGTGTACAGATGTTATTGTGATTTCTAGAGTCAGATTGATGTGTGGTAGTATTGAACCCAGATGTTTAACGGGTGTAAATGGATCAGACGTTGTCATGATGCAGAATAATGCCCATAGCTTTACTGCAAAGATTGTGATGAAGTACTTTGAACAAGGAAACATGGATGTCACGTATTGACAATCAATAGGTTCTGGTCTAAATCCTATATAAAGACTCTGAGATCTCCTTAAATGTCACGCAACATCAGAGATCATTGTGATGCACTAATTGAGGAATGGAACAGGATTACCGATAATGTCATCCACCAACTGATCATATACAGCTACAGTAATCAATGTTGGGGGACATGCTCGTTGCTGGGTGTGTTTTTTACCTAATGTGGCTTATTAGAAAAGATGATCCAAACAGCTCCTTACTCTGACCATGTTGAATTTAAGTGTGCTCGTTTCACAGCCATTAAATAGCGGTATATATCGCCAAACTGATTAATTAGCTGTATTCTGTAAATAAGTGAACTTCGGTTTTTCATTTAATTGAATGGCAGTTTTACTATTAAACTTTACTACTTTAATTTCTAGAATATTTCATATCAACATGTAATAACCTTAACAGCCTTCCATCACGTCTTTGCAAATTCAAAATTTCTTTTAGTCCCCATGACATTTCTTTATTTTCCAGGTAACGACAGCCATTCATTAAAGATCCTTGAAATTACACAAAATTTCTTTTGGAAATATGCTGTCTACTGTATAATATATTCAGTCTCACAGATGCTACTCATTTTCTGTTTTTGGAGTTTTAGAGCGTATTTAATATAGTTATTAACTAATACATTTCTATGTACAAAAATTAAATCAATTTCAAATGACAGGAACTCTGCTTCCAACATTATTCTAAAACGTAATAACAAATGGTATAAATATCTTATATCAAATATGTATAACACGACTATATGGGAAACGAATACAAAGCTCTCAACAAGATAATATAGAAAAACCCATACAGTATGAAGGATCACACCAATGTAGAAAACCTATAAAAATACATAAACATGACAACATAGAAAATAACAAATCTATAAATACCACAATATAGAAAACCCATACAAATATCTTAATACCACAATACAAAAAACCTCATAAAGTCTCTAAATACGATATAGATAACCCACAAAACTCTCTGAACAAGCTAATACAGAAAATCCATATAAATTAATAGAATAACAGAAATACTGAAAACCCATACTAATTTACAAAATCACGTCAATATTGAAACGTATACAAATCTCCAAACACGACAATAAAGAAATCCACAAAAATCTTGAAGCATGACAATATAGAGAACCCACAAAAATTTACAGAATCAAAGCCGTATGGGAAACCTCATAAAGATATCTAAACAAAACAAGGAAAAAAAGAATAAATATCTAAACAAAATAAGGAAAAAAAAATAAATATCTATAAACATAACAATATAGAAAACCCACACAAATCTTTAAACATGACAATATTGAAAACCCACACAAATTTATTGAAAAATGGCAAAATAAAAAGTATAATCTCTAATTACGACTCTATAGAGTATCGTATCAATCTTTAAACATGATACGACCATATTGAAAATATATACAAAATGTAACCATGACAACATAGAAACCCAGAAAAATCTCCAAACACAATAATATAGATAACCTACAAGACAATGAAAAAACCAAAAACATGCAAGTCTCGACAATATAGAAAAGTCATATAAATCTCCGAATTATGAACAAAGGTTTATGTAGAAGGGCTCCAGAATATCAGATCTCACGGACTTGTGTACGTAACATGATAGTATCATGTATAATCTACTCGAAATGACCATTAGTTAATTTTTTAGGCTGGTGATTAATCAGCTTGTCTGAAAGCTCGTGATCATCTGTATGATATATGACGCACATGTGTGTCAATAAACTAGGATTAGCTGCAAAATCCACGTGCTTACCGTCATAACGCTTTTGTGTATTGTCACGATTGCTAAAGAGAGGCTAAAGCTTTGATAAACTCGTTGATCACTCGAAGCAGATAAGTTGGCACATTAAATGGAAGGTTGATGAACGATTTCGCTAACACTGTCAAGGTGGTGGTGGTGGTTTACGAGTTCTTAGTTCGAAACTTATTATATAAAAATTCATAGTTGGGAGTGAAATGTATACTGTTAGTAGTTGTTGAAATACGTGTTTTGCAACCTGGACAGTATTTCTAAAAAAAATAATAATAATAAAAAAAAAACACGTAAAAACTAGATATTCAGGTAAACCGGACTTTTCTTGAAAACTGACTTTTATATTACTAGACCATCTATTTACTCTCTAAGTAACTAGTGTTATGTCATTTGTATAAAATGCGAAAGATTGCGCCAACAGTGGCATAAAAAATCAAAGTATTATTACAATGTCATTATAAGTTATTCTTACTTACAAACGATATTGAATCAATTAAATGAATTTAATATTTCAAGGAAACAAACAGGTCATACATCTTGCAACTCATTCTTATACACTGAATTATTCAAACTATCGATTATTCGTAACCACCTGTGTGAATTTCTTAATCTAAGAAAACGTACATTGACACATTATTCACTTTTTAATATCTCTATATATGCTGTTGAAGCGATTCATGGCCAGAGGCTTAATATATAAACTTACATGCTAATTTGAATATATTTTTGACATTTTCAGTTTTTTCTGCATTGAAACTGACCAGAGGAAAAATAAAATTCCCACGGTGCACTATATATTGACAGTTTTATAAGAACAACTGTTACGGAAAGATTTTGAGCATATACATAAAAACCACAACTTGAGAGTATGTTGGTTTTCTGTAACTAATTTCATTTACCGTATTTTTTCGGAATATAGGACGCACCGGTGTATAAGACGCACCGTTATTTTGAAGATAAAGTTCTTGGGGAAAAAAGCTACAGTCGCATTTGAAAGATTTTTATTGAACAAAAACTCAATTTGATAC